CGCCTGGGCGCAGCATCCCGCCGTGACTAAAGGGCCGTAACCAGCCTCGGCAATAATTGATTTGCTTGTCCAGAAATCGCCCTGGATTTCAAACAAAAAGAAACTGGGCACAGACGCTCCTTTACGACACCGCAGCAGGTTAATTATCCACGGCTACACACTTCCCACACTCCCCACCCCGGAGCGAGGGCCTTCCCACCAGCCTGTCATGCAGCTTTTGCACCTCTTCACTGTGGCCCACCTCTCCTTCCTACTCAGCTTTTGCTCGGGGGTCCCTCCAGGTATTTCTCCATCTCTCGGGAGCTTTGCCTTCACCGTGGAAGCGTTGTCCTCGCTGTCGAATCCCCGCTGCGAGGCTGGTTCTCCACTGGTGCCGTTGCTCCTTTGAACACCCCAGAGGTTCTGCCTTGCTTTCCTCTGGGCACATTGAACCCATTTCATCGGGTCGTTTTGCAGAGGGAAGCACTGCCCCAGCAGCTCTTTGGGGACGGTTTTATCCAAGCGTGTCTGTCACAAGAGCGTACCAAGGATAAGCAAGTCTCTTCTGAATGTTTTAATTTGGCAGCAAAAGCCAAAATATCAGAAGAGATACAAGTGTGGCAGGCAAAACAGGGATACATTTGGCACGTAAGCGTGGTGGGTTACGGGGTGAAAGGCTCATCTGCACCAGCGTGAAGGAGCACGGAGGTGAGATGACTGAGGGAACCCAATAACCTGGTCAGAGACGCGGGTACCCCAATCCCGCTCCTCCTGGGAGAGCATCAGCCCCACGCTCCAGGGTGATACCCAACAGGAGGAGTCAAGGTCAGAGCAACCCTGGGACGGAGGGTCACTGCTGAAGAGTGTGGGACTCATCACAGCGCGCAGGGAAGGGCGCTTGGGGGTTGCACAGGCCTCTGACTTATGCAGGATAATAAAATGCACACAAAGTAGCTCAGAAATATTTGTATAGGGGGCAGCAATTCACCTGAGATGATTGCTTACGAAGCCCCAGAGTAAAGAGAGCAAGCCAGCGATGTGAATAATAAAACCGAATCATGTGAGACCATCCCTGCATCACTCTAAGCGTAGGACCTTCGACTGGTTTGGGTTGGAAGAGATCTTCAAAGGTCATCTAGTCCGAGCCCTCTGCAGCAGGGACGTCTTCAATTAGATCAGGTTGCTCAGAGCCCTTTCCAGGCTGGGTGCAGCTTCTCGTGAATGCTGCGGATGGAGGAGATCTCATCCTGCAAGTCTACAAAAAAAAAAACCCAAAAAAGAAGAGGAGTCCATTAAGGACAGGTGGTTCATGGTAAATCTGTCACCTCTCCTTGCTCCTGAAGTGACCAACCATCCTCACCAAGTCCGTCTCTCCTGCGGGGTTTGGTTCTTTGGCACTTCAGGTTTGGGAGTTGGAGCACAGCAGGAGAAAGGTGGCTTGCAGGAGAGCGGACAGCTTTTGGGCATTGCCACAGCTGGGAAGTCCTGTTCTCCCCTTGCCCTGCTCCTCCAAAATGGGGCTGCAGGCCCTGGGGCCTCATGCACTGCACACAACATCCCCCCAAGCCGGTGCACCGGGTCCGTACCTGGCAGCTCGCTGTTGACTTGGTCCCATGGGCAAAAGATGAGAGTGAGCTTGTCAGAGAAGTCCTGCTCCATCTTCCTGATGATCTCCACCTGCAGCCATCACACAGCCAAGCATGTGAGCAGGGCACAGGGCTTGGAGCCCCTCACCCTGCCAACCCCCCCAGGTCCCCCTGTTACTGCCCGCTGGGGCTGAGAGCTCTCAGATGCAGAGGCAGCAGCTCTGAGCTACTCTAAAGCCCAAATCATGACCAACTTCAGGATGGGAGTGATGGAGTTGTCATTTAGGGACGACAACTGCGAGTCAAGTTAGCTGTTTGCGAGCAGACCCTCGAGTATGGGGCTCAGACCCACATCAGTGCCTTGGGCTCAGTTGGGTCCACACTGGTGAGCAGCCAGAAAGGATTAATGACAGTAACAATGCTTCTGGGCACCACTGGAGATCCCTCCTGCCACAAAAGCAATGCCAGCAGTGGCCTCCCAGTGTACGTGAGAGCCTCCTGATGCCAACGCCTCGCAAGGAGACACCTTCATGTTACCACACACGTGTTCACCAGATCCTTTTTTAGCACGTTGTCCTCTACCCCTAAACACCGCCCGAGGCCGTAGAGAGCTCCCCCAAGGAACAAGAAGGAGCACAACTTACCTTCAGGGCCTGGAAGTGCCCTCTCATGATCTTCTCTGCTTTTTCAAACATTCCCCTTTCCAACTCTCTCCTTATACCCTCGCTAAGGATGGTTTGCATCCTCCTCAAGGCTTGTTCTCCCCTCTGCCTGGCAGCTTCTGTTGGTAAAGTGATGACTATCAGACAGAGATCCAGACCCCAGGTGCCCATGGGAAGGAGGGCCAGTGGTGAGGTTTGGCAAAGGAAAAGGCAGAGCTTTGCACTGCTGTATTGGAGGGGATCCATCTCCGGGACACTTTCCTGCTTAGGCTTGGCTAACTGGCCCAGCAGTCCCTTTTCAGAACTAACTAAGCAAGCGATTCAGGTGTCTTCCTAAAGTGGACATGAGTGACTTCTGCATTCTGGGTTTTAGCTTTTCCGTTTTCTGAGGATGCCACCTACTGCTGGGAAAGGAAGGCAGTAACGAAGTCGCAAGCTTCTCACTTCAGGATGCTAAAGGAGACACAAAGGGTGTGCTTCAAAGGCAGACAGCAACAAATGAATTCTAGACAAGAATCCGCAGTTTACAAGAATCAGCAAATCAGGGTAGAGAACAGGCAGCCGATTTTCTGGCTTTGAGCATGATCTAGTTTGGACCTGAGAAATGTCTCTGAGTTGATGCCCAAGTAAAGCTTTTGCCCTGTGGTTTTCTTCCTAGACCTAAAACAGGCAGACTGGAGGCCTGGACTCTTCTTCTCAGCCCCTGTTGGGGTTATTCTGTAAAAACCAAAAGAACCTTCAGTATAAAATGACGAGAGGAGGAGGTGACTGGCTATACCTTCATAGCAAGGCAGCAGGTCGTTTTGAATGGATACGGTAAGGGAGTTGTAGATGTCGGCTTTCTTCTGGAGGATGAATTTTTCAGTGTCCCTGATGATGAAGTCCGTCTGCAAGAAGAACTTCAAACGCTTGCCACCATCACTTCGGTCATGAGAAAGGATCAACACTAACAACCTGATGCTAATAATCTCACAATGACCATCTCAATTGAAGTGTGGCAATCAACAGATGACTGGAACAGTTGGTGCCCGTGGGCATCACCTCTTCACTGTGCTCTGACTTAACTTGGAATATGTCCCTTCCAGCTCGAGATACTCAATCCCGCCTCCTCTCCTCTCCTCTCCTCTCCTCTCCTCTCCAAATGGGAAGTTTCAGGCTAGGATACAAAAACAAGTGCATGGACTCCACACCCTCCTCAATTCCACGCTTGCTAAAGACAAGGTGGAACGTCTCCTACCTCCCTTTCTCACCTCTCCACCACCTCAAAACACACCTGATCACCCCAACAGGTCCTACAAAGACTGTGCTCTGCCCCTGTCCCCTCTTCTAGTGCTCCTTCTGGCTTGAACAGCCCCTCGCTGGCCACCTCCCACTCCCCTCCAAGGCGAGCGCACCTCCTGCTGA